TCCCTCTCTCCCCCCTCCATCCGTCTCCTTTGTCTTCCTCTCTCCTCCCTTTCTCCCTCCCTCCCTTCCCTTCCTTTCCTTCCTCCGTTCCTCTCTTCTCACTTTTTGTCCTTACCTTAACCGCCACGGTGCGGCCATCCCTGAGCACAGCCTTGTGCACCTGGGCAATCGACGCCGATCCCAAGGGCACCTCGTCGAACGCGCTGCACCGACATCAAGGACAACAAGGACAACAAAAATAACGAAGATGACAAACATGAGCGATAAAAAGGAAAAATGAAGAAACAAAATAGCTCAACATGTGCATGGACATGTCATCAAGCGCTGCAACAACAACAGCCATAACAACCATACCAAACAGGTGCGTGTACATGTCATCAAATCGCCGCACCGATAACGACAACAAAGGTAACAAACGTGTGAAACGACAACAAACAAAACAACCATAGCAAAACGTGCACAGACACGACACCAACGCGCTGCACCGACGACATGGACAACAAAAATAACAACGACTTGCGTGGACATGGCATCAAAACTGAAAAATATCCCATGGGCCGCCTGTTGCTATAAGTAGTAAGGCGTTTTACATGAAGCACGTTCCATAAAACAAACAGCTTGCCAACAAGGCTACAGGAGTAGTTGCTCGAAGCTTGAAGCCATGTGGGATGTTCCACGGATATCGAGGGAGGCCTGACCCGCATGGTAACGGTACCACAGTTGCCCAAGAAGTTGAACCGTTTGCCACGGAACGAACAGAACGTTTAGATGCTCATAGGAAATGAGAACAAACGCCATCACATTCAACAAGCGACCAAACTTGAAACAATTTACGGATGGCCAACAGCGCAGTCACAACGTCCGTGGACTACCGCTGTACTTAAAGTGCTGGGAGACACAGCCCCCCCCCAAATCCAACTCCAAAGGGGCTCACCATGAAGCTGCCCCGATCCCAGTATGCCATCTACATGTTGCATTCTGCGCGTGTCGCCTTTGCCTCCACCAACAGACAAAGAAGCACGATCTCTGCTGACTGCTCCTCTTCCAAAGCATTGAGAGAAACAATAAAGAACAATCTCAGCGCAAAATGGTTAAAACGTTCCGATACAGTGTACCGTCCACCAACACAACTTCCGTGCTTTCGTTTGTAGTCTATCTACCATTTTCCCTTTTCACCCACCTGAACAGCGTTTCTAGCGGCTCTCCCTCCAAAAGCTCCTGTGAGATGAGCGCCTTCACCAGTTCCGTCGGAATTGGCTCTACAGAATCCTGGGGGGCCAGACAGAGCATCACAGGGATCATCAGCGAGAGCGTCGGCGAGAGCATCAGAGAGAGCATCAGAGAGAGCATCAGCGAGAGCATCAGAATGAGACACGAGCCAGCGCCAAGCTTGGCAGGAAGAAGCCCCTTAACACCGCAAGGCCTCGTCGCAGTTGTCGTTGTTATTGGTGGCTTCCTCCGATTTGCTTCTCATCGCGGTGGGTATTTTTCGCAGAGACTTGGGAACGTGATTCACGTGCGTGTCACTAGTGTCTCTCGCAGGCCTAAACCCGAGTCCAGGGCAACAAGAGTTGTGTCCAACGCATGGCGCGTAAACCGTGGTAGCACCCATGTTTAATTTTTTTCTCTGACCCTTGTTGAAAAAGACGATCACACCTGTAGGCTCTGAAGCTTGGACGTGTACTGCTCCGGGAAAAGATCTACCCTCGTCGATAGCACCTGAGATCAAAAACAAAGGGATAGAGGGAGGGGGCGTACTCTGATGCCCGTGCATTCCCTAGCGGTTAGACCATTTGTCACCCGTCCTCGAGAGGGCGGAGCATTGGGGCGGGGGTACTCACAGCCGTGCATACCGTAGTCATTAGACCTCGCATCCCCGAAGGCGGGGGGGCATCAGGACCCGGGTACAGACAGCCAAAGACGAGAAAACAAGATGAGAAGAAACCAATACACACACACATGTCCGACGCGGCAGTACCGTACCGCACCTCTTCTAAAGTGGGACACAAAATACCGGAATGGTGTAGCACCCGCACGCATGAGCAATGCGCATGTTCCAAGCGTGTGGGTGTCACAGCAGCAACGACAGCAGCGCCATTAACTGGGAGGATAGCCCGAGCCCTATGTTGTAAGATACACTCACCTGCCCCGTCTTAACGTAGTATCCTCTGAGGTCTGTGATAGTGTCTGTCACCAGCTTGCTTCCCCAGTTATGAAGGTCCTACCGCGTGGAGCAGCGGCACAAACAACGGGGGATACATTGACCTCGTTCCATACGGCTTGCATGTTAGCATGGAAGTTCATCAAATTGAGGTTCCGGAGGTGCGGAACCTACGTTGCCGTGTCTCAGTGGTCAGTGCTCTTGGACTAGTATGTATCTCGCTCCGTCGTGGACGAGAACATGAAACACTTGTGCGTCTGGTAGGTTGTGGTTATTGCTGTGGCGGCGGTTGCCTACACGCCGAACGTGTCCTGATCAACGTAGATGTAGATTCCGTACCTCTCCTCGTACACTTCACGTCTGGGCACCAATATATGTGTAAGCAGGTTCAGAGCACGTCAACACCGCTGCATGTCTCGCTCTTCCGTCGATGAACGGGAGAGGGTAAGAGGACGCCGTCGCGATGACCAATGCATGAGCAAGCGTAGGGCCAGACCTCTCTGAGTTCCGAAGCTTCGCCGTACTCATACGTACGACATACGATACGGTACATGATTACCACATCGTGCACAGACCCTCCAGCTCGATTTCGGACCAGGTCTATCAAATACATCTTGACGTCGTGACTTCTCAAGGTTGAGGGAGAGATCGTTAGCGTGGAATGTTTACATGCGCAAAAAAAGTTTAACGGTCCTTTCGAAAAAAGTGCAGGCAGTGGGTACGCAGACCCAAACCCTAACCCCAATGTGGACGGATTTATACGTTGTCCAACGCCCGGGGGCTTCGCCCGCCCCCGTACCGCGGGGGCGGGCTCGCGTAATACCCGTAGGTTAAGAAATGGAAGGCGAACAAATAGCAGGAGGAAGCTTTTTCACACATCAAACGAAAGAACGACAGGAAAGCTTTAAAAGTGTATTCCGAAAAAAAAATGGATTCGCCACAGAGCAGCAGCTGCCACACGGCACGGCATCATCCTATACATGGACATGTTTGCTTACGTAAAAACCCTGCGTAGACTACCGGTTAGCGTTCGCCTGGACTGCCCGAGGAAGGAACCTAGTGCACTTTGTTGGCCGTGTGCAGTCTGTTGGCCATGGCATGTCGGTGTCGGCGACGTGCGCCTCCGTGTCACGGTCCCACCGTCGGGCGTCCGTCCGGCAAGACTGCAAAACCAACGTGCATCCATCCATCATTCCACGTTGGGAAACCGCGTCCCACCTGCCACTGCTCCTCGGTTGCCCCCTGATTCCGCTCCTGCAGGTAGTACCTCACCAGAATGCGACCCATGCTTCCCCAGAATGCCAGCGTGCGGCCTATCCTCTGTCGGTTCGGGGGTGGTGATGCGGTGATGCGAAACCAAAGCAGGTTCCGCGAGGTGTGTCGCTTGGTCGGGATAGGTATGAGACAAGTTGTAGCAATAGACTTGCTCGTGTCTTTTGTGGAAGTACCGTAGCAGCGTGCGTCTTCACAGTCACAAGATACCGTTTGATGGACCGTTGTAGCCAATACGGAGTACGCCTGATAACTGCCCGATGAAGTGATGACTACCGTAGGTCGCATAAGACATCACGCCCCCTGGACCGATTTCCGAAGCTCGATTTCTCGGCAGGAAAGCGGTTACGGTGCGAAAAATGGCCGGAATCGGAACCGTCTCGTCGAGAGCTTCCCGAAAACGTGTCCTCTAAATTCGGCATTGGCTTCGTCGTGGAGTAATCGAGGTTTGAAAATCGGTCCACGGGGTGTGGAATCTCATGCAACCTACGGTAGTCCGTGGGGTACTGGGGGAGACTCCACCAGCAACGGCGCAAAGAACGCCAACAAAGTCAGCAACATGCACCTCACAAGCACAATACAAGTTGACCTTGTTAGTGTTCCACTCTTGTTGCGCACCTGGACTGCCCCGCCTGGTTTCACACCGGTCTAATCCTCCTGAGGCCAAGAAGCATGGTCAGAACCAATTCTTTGGACAATTAGATTATGAAGCCGCGCTTTCCGCCGAACAACCCTCCAGAGGTACGTCTACCTCCACACAAAATATTTAGCTCTGCTACGTCGGTGACTACGACGCCACGCTCCTACAATACGACCGTGACACCAGCAACTGGCTACACTGGTTATTCTGCGTTAGCGAAACGAGGAAGAGTTTGAGAACGCGTCAAATCTGGAAAGGCGTACACGTACATACGCATACGTCTCTCACTTCAAAAGCCGTGCAGCAACATGACATGATCCAAGAGTCACACCGACAACGACCGACTTTTCGCAGAGAGCACCAACCGACTTGCTACTCTCAACCCAGTCCTGCGGCACGACAGCGGCATGATCAGTGCAAGCCTCTACGGGATTTCACGCCATGCCTGCTGTGCCCCCCGTGCTACCAGTACATGGGACACTTGGCATCCTGGCAGTCGTAGCAGTCCTACCCACAGCAGTACACATGCTCACCTCGCTTTGCGACAACGGCCCAGGGAAAACAAAACCGTCATACCCACGGGTCAGATCCGACGGCACCATCTCCCTCGAGGTCGTGACCGACTCGATGAGAGGGAGAATCTTCTCCATGAGGTCCTCCTTGTCTCGCTTTTTCGCTCTCAGCTGTGTAATCACGGCCCTGCTATGTACCCCAGCCCGGCCATGACGGCTGCTGTCGCGATTACTGCGGCATCCGAGACTCGCGGTGGTAGCCGTCGTTCTAAAGCCGAGGCAGGGCGGCAGGACCAGCGCCGCGGCCACGCCCAGAGCCGCTCGCCATCGTCTTCGCTGCACCATGTTGCCACTACTGTACACAGGCAACAAGGGCTGTGCATGCGTACCTTCTTTGCCGAGGGGGGTTTCGCGGTTTCGACGTATTCCCCCGTCTGATATATGGGGCTCCGCAGCATACATCCTCAACAGGGTTTCACCTTCACCTTCTGGACCAAGCAAGTGCTTGACGAGACGAGACACACACACAGAGGGGAGAGGAAGAAGTAAAGGCTCACCGATTGTCCGAAGAGGCTGAGGTCCGCCAATTGTTACAGGAGAGGGAGAAAGGGGAAAAGAAAGAGAGAGGACGCCTGTGCTGTGTCCGGAGACGCTCTTTTCGAACGACACCGGCTTTGCCCTGTTGCCGCGTGGAGACTTGGCTGCCGAGGATAGTGAGAGGTGAGATGTTTTTCTGTGATGTTGAAGATATCAATTGCCCCCTCTTAGTTGGAGCTCGAGCTTGAGTAATATATATTCATGCGTGCACTTGTAAACGCGCACGACACAAATGATACTAGAGTTTCAAACCCGCAACACACGCGGGAGAAAGCTGGTCTGTTGAAGAGTTTTCACCACATCCCACCTGCAAACGTCTCTGTTACTCTCCTCTCCCCCCGCACTGCGTGATTGCGGGGATGCGATGCGGCATTCTGTTGCGTGGTGAGTGCGTGTGTACTGCCGAGTTGTGTTGGGAAAATATTTGCTAAACATGTTGTACGCTCTCTCTCGAAATGAACAAAGTGAGTGTAGCCTACAGACGTCTAGACAGCGGGTTTTGCCACCAAACGATCACGTCGATCGCTGCCGTTGCCGTGCGATTGGCCATTACACAAAGACAAACCAACACGGGCGTGTGTCGTTTTTGAGTTGCTGGAACATGCGGCGCCCCTCTGCGTGCCGACGTGATGTTCGACGTTAGGATAGTCTTCCTGACGAGAGCTGTGCCATTCTTGTTGAAAAAGTAAACGTAACCTCACAGGAAGACAACCCGTTCGAGATGTAACCTCAGTCGAGAGGGATGTGAAGTCTTTTCAGTAAGTGGATTGAAACCAACTGGAGACTTGGCATTCTTGCTTTTGTACAACACACCCGACCTGAACATGAGAGCCAAGATTTTAAAAGGTTGCGTAGCCCGTGCGTCAGACGATGCGTTTCTCCGGAGGCACTTGCTGTTGCTGTTGCCGATGCCACTGCTGCTGTTGTCCTACCCCTACATACGGAGGATACGTGTCGCAAGATGTCCCAAAACTGCTGCATCGATACGACCCCACAAACCGGTTCACAACGGCAACTGACAGTATCGTCCCGCGTTTTCTGCAGAGACAGTGACGACGTGGAATCGGCCGGCGGTGGCCTATCGCGCGCATGTAGATATTTGTGTAGTGGCGTCGTGTGTGTGCGCGTCGCGAAGATGTCTGCGATCGATGTGTGATTCACAGGCGTTCTTGGGCAGGGAACAACAGGGAAGTCGACTCTCTGTCTGTCTGTCTGTCTGTTTCTCTCTCTCTCTCTCTCTCTCCCACTCCCTTTCTCGAATAACTACAAATCCCTAATCCAACCCTCTGTTCAACCATATAAACATACTCTTCCTAAAAATCCTTCAATACTAGTCTCCAGGTCTCCAACCTCATACACCTCCCGTGCCCTTGTGGCGGTGTATCCACCCAAACGGAACCCAGCCTTCTCACAGGAGCAAACCTTCTCGAGTCCATTCCATCAAGCCCCAACATGAATGCTGCAATCAACTACCCACGTTTTCTTTCACTTACGAAAGCTAGGGTTGACTTATTGCACGACACCAGGCGGCGTCCCCACGGGCCGCAACATTCCTAGCGACATGGAGGGATTCGTGGAGGGGGATGACCCTGGAGACGCCCCTCCTCCTCCTGCCGTTACTCCCTCTACGGCAGCTGCTCCTGGCAGCAACAGTAAGAGGCTTACCACCAGAGCCGGTACAGGCACAGCGGCTAGCCTTGCCGGCATGGTAGCGGCGAGGTCATCAGGGGCCGCCGACGGCATCAGCCCCGTGCACGGCGCGTACGGACTGGCCATCGAGGAGGAGGTCGAGGACCTACTCTCCAGCCACATGAAGTTCATGCAGGGGTAAGACTTGTTGTTTTTCGGAGATCACATGAAGTTCATAGAGAGGTGAGAGTTCATTTCGTGATTCGTAAATTAAATGAAGCTTATCCTGGGGTGGTGTTTTTTTTTTTCAGAATACCCGTTGGTTGTTGGTGGAAGTCCTATAACCCTACTACTCGATGGCAAGGCCGTTCTCAGTCAGTGTTTTTCAACGCCAAAGGTTACGACGTCGGAGTAGTAGTAGTAGCAGCAGCAACAGCAGCAGGAGAACTGCACCCTGTGTTGATGTAATAGTCTCACCCACGCTCTCTCAAGTAGCCCAAGAATGACACCCTCCAGGCTGACACCTGAACGACACCCTGTTGACAATTATCTCGCCGACACCTTTATCAAATTCGGCAAGTGCCTCGCCCTATCGCTGCCTACCCCCCCTCCCGTAACCCTCCCCTTCCCTTCCCCACCGTACCCTATCCTAACCCTGGCAGGAGGTCTAGCCCTTCGAACGGGTCGGGTTCGTCACAGCGGTCGGGGTTGGGGGGAATATCGGTCTCCTACCGGGCGGGATCCTCGTCAAAACCGATGGACGCGAGGCAAGGGGAGATGCCGATTGCGTTGGTGGCCATCGTGACGTTCGATTTGAGGTGTGTAGGAGGCGAGGGACGCGGTGGGAAATTTCCTTCTTGGAAGAGGTTGTCATTAGTTCTCGTGTCACTTGGTGGTGGCTATCCCGCCGTAGCTCTTGTGCGTGAGGAGGGGGAGGGAGAGTGATGCGTGTGTTTTGGCGGTGTTTGTTTCATAGTGAGCGAGGTGTTGGATTCGGTAGCCAACTACTTTCTTTGATCCCTAACCCCCTCTCCTTACATTCGTCGCACGAGCGCAAGCGCTTCGCCCCAAGCCTTTGCTTTACCCCATCTTGCCATGCTATGCCGTGATGTATGCGAGCGCCTCCTGTGTTGTGATATCGCGCGGTTGATCATTCGCCGATGTAAGCTAGTGCCAAACCCACCTCATTCATGTGTGTTGCCGTGGCTCTTTTTTCTGCTCGCCCTTGGATAACTCCCGTCCATCCGTCGATATCACGTGTGTCGTATACTACGAAACCAATACCAACCAGCACCAACGACAAACAACAATAACAATATCAACAATATCAACAACAAAAACAACCAAAACAACGCCAACAACGTCGATACGTCCGCCTTCTTTCAACTCTCCTGCTGCAGGCAAGGCCCGTGCCTGGTGTGTGTGGATCCGCCCATAGAGGACGATCAGGGACAGCCGACGCTCCCGCTTACGGCCGCTGACATTCACGTCCTTAGATCAGACATGCCCTTCAAGGCCCTCCCGGAAAATGGCCTGGTAGGTCAATGCTTTTCGTCAAGCTCATCGCTGGTGTAAGCCTCCCTTTTGGTGGTAGGTCATGGTCATGATGATCTTTATTGTGAGGCGCAGGGGGTGCTTTGGGCGTGTTGATGTAAGGAGGCGGTGTAGATATTGCACACGTACGATAATGGCCATGTCAGTGGCAGGGGAGCAGTAGCTGCACGGGGGGCGGGGGATCCTCCTCTCATGGGTCTGGTTCGTGGTTTCCATGGCACTGGTTCCGTAGCAGGCCTTGCAAGGGTTAGCTCGTGCAAAGATTTTGGCTACGAACGTCCGGAGGACACCTTAGTACGGAAAGGAGTAACCTTCAGTGCGGGAAGGAGAACCTTAGTACGGAACGGAGAAAACCTTAGTGTGGACTCTGCGTGGGAGACAAGACCCCACAATGGTTCGCCGCCACGTCGAATTTCGTGTGTTGGTTGTGTTTGTGACGCGCGTATTCTGACATCACAGGCAGCAGCCGAGCTCTCCCAGGGGCCGAGCCGCACCGCTTCGCCCGAAAGCGAAGGAGGGATCTGGGGATGGGCCAAAGGCTGGGTCATGCCTAGCGGAGAAGGGGGGGGGGCACACGGAGGGGACAGCGCGAGGGGCGGCGACGCGAGGGGAGGGGAGGGGGGAGGGGGATCCCGGCAGCACCACGGGCACTGCCTCTTCATGCTGAGGGTGTCCGGCGAGAACCTGTTCGGAATGAGCCACTTCCTTCGTGTTGAGGTACGCAGACACCATATCACGTNCACTGCCTCTTCATGCTGAGGGTGTCCGGCGAGAACCTGTTCGGAATGAGCCACTTCCTTCGTGTTGAGGTACGCAGACACCATATCACGTCGTAGGCATTTACCACAAGGCTTGCATCCATGCGGGGCGGAGAGACATTGCACCGACGGAATCACTTTTTGTTAATTGTTGTTGGAGAAGTGCTCATGGAACCCTTGTTCCTGCTGCCGAGTATCCTGTCATGTATGTTTGGGTGTGTTTTTGGGTTTGGTTCTTGCTTTTCCCCGCTTTTGCCGTGTCCACCCTGTTTGACGGGGTTTTGAGCATCGTTTCTCTTCATGTGCGGCAGTCAACCAAGCAGTCTTTGGTCGGGTTCCTATTTCTTGCCATCTTTCTAGCTCTCTGGGTATCACCGTACATGCTTGTCAGCAGGAGCCGCAAGGCAAACCAGGGAGATTTTGTTTCCTTTGGTTCGAATCCCTTCCCCCCACACACCTTGTAAACGGCCGTATACATAAGAGACCCGGGGAAGCTTCCGTAGTACGGCACTGTCGTGGTATTTGAAGATCATATTTGCTTGGAGGTGGATGCTTGATTGTCCAAGGCAGGGTAAGCAGCAAGTCAGGCACCCCCCCCTACCCCCCTACCCCTAAACAGCGTATGCTTCTGCGCGGGAACTGGTATTGTCCCAGAGACCACCCGGCTCTTTTTTTTTTTGTATAACTACAGTTTTGCGACGAATGCGAGTCAGCGCCCCTTGTCCCGTGCTATGTGCTTTTGCGGCGGACACCTTTTTTTTTCTCTGAAGCCCGCGGCCACGCAAGATGATGAGTACAACCCCCTGCTGTTGCCTGGGCTGGCGAAAGCCCGGCAAACCTTTGAAGCTCGGAGTTTTTGGGATGCGAGGGTCTTCGGGCTACCGGCTACGGCGTGCGCACACATGAGTGTCCCTCCTCCCTCCTTGTTGTGGCTGTGTGGCACCGTTAGGACCCCGACTCTCCTCGAGGGTACACGCAGGGAGCCGCGGTGTGCCTGTCCCGCCTCCCGTTTTTCGGTCTGGTCCTGCAGAGGCTGCACGCTTTCAGCATGGACGTAATTGACAGGTGAGACATGATGCCAACGGTGAATGAATTCAGTGGACGTCGTTGACAGGTTAGACAGGGTGCCAGCGGTGAATTAATACAGTGGATGTCGTTGACAGGTCAGAGAGATGCCAGCAGTGAGTGCATGCAGTGTCAAGTTGTTTCTCGTGTGGGAGCGGTCATTGGCACAGTGTTGCAGAGGCGAACTGCCGGCTTTGAGTGCGGGCTTTGTGGGCCGGTGAAAAAGGCTGTCAGTAATGGAGACATGCCATTTTTGTGCTAGGATGGCAATGCTCCCACCCGCCCTCTGATCGCCCGTGTGAAACCCTTCGAGAGGGCGAGAACGTGCATTGGCATCTAGCCCGAAGGGAAGTGTATTTCAGCAAACCAGTACTCGTCAAACTGACTTGGCATGAGTGTACTGCAGCATTGGCGAAAAGGAGGAGGTCTTACCAGTTATGTTTTCGTGAAACGCAACGAAATCGGCGCCCAAAGTTTCGCGTTTTCTGAAAGCACGATTTCGCCAACGTTCGTCAAGCAAACGAGACTTGGCCGCCTTTTCCCTGAGGTCGACAGTTGCCGTGGAATGAATGGCAGTCGCCGCTTGATCGGGAACCTCAAATGCCTCCAGCTTACCTCCACTAGTAGCAGTGCAGCTTGAACCATTGGTGGAATCCAGTTGTTTTCTGCGTGACTTTTCTTGAGGGAGTGAAGGGGACCGAAGATGATGCTCGAGCACGGGATTAAGCATGGGCTGCTGTGAACTCGAACTGACGCAATGACGATATGGCTTTTGGTGAAGGAGTGAAGGAGACTGACGTAGATTCGCGAGCACGTGGTTCCATGGCCACACGATAGATGTGACCTAGACATGCATGGAAAAGGAAGATGACGTACTCACACAGTCGATTACGTGCTGCTGCGGACTCGGCATGGACGCCATGACGCCATGACGTTTCAGAAAGGAGTGAAGGATACCGAAGTTGTTTCACGATCACGTGATTTGGCATGCCCTGCTGTGAACCTGCAATGGCGCTATGACGCTATGACACTATGGCGGTTTGTGGCCGAGGTGAAGGGTACGACACTTGTTTGGTGAACATGTGATTACGCATGCGCTGCTTTTAACTCTTAATGACGCAGAAAGGAGTGAAGGATACCGAAGTTGTTTCACGATCACGTGATTTTGCATGCCCTGCTGTGAACCTGCAATGGCGCTATTACGCTATGACACTATGGCGGTTTGTGGCCGAGGTGAAGGGTACGGCACTTGTTTGGTGAACATGTGATTACGCATGCGCTGCTTTTTACTCTTAAATGACGCGGTGACGCTGTGACTTTTCTGGAAGGCCTCAAGGGGACGGAAGTGACGTATTCACACAGTGGATGTGACGATGCATCTGAAGCTGAAGAACTCGCTTGGATCATGTTTCGGCCTCTTGTAGGAACGGGTGTGCCGGGCAGCTGGCAGCGTTGGCGGCGGACCTGAGGGAGACACGCTTCGAGGACCTCGGCCACAGCTCCGTCTATCAGGTGTGAAGGCCACCTACCCTACTTGTGTCAGCTGATGGTGGCTGCTACGGCTGTTGTTGACTTGATGGCTACTACAGCCTCGGGTGACTGCCGCTGGACTATGTAGCAGCATCGGCGTGGCAGCACTGCGTTAGATGATGTGGCAGCAGAAAAACCACAAGCTCTCTTCACAATGGACCTGCCGCACCCGCAGCCTTGTCAGGATCTGCTAATGCCTTCCTTCCCTGCCTCTCTCTTGGTCTTGCCCTTTGCTCCTTGATTCACTCCCTCATCTGGAAAGGATTTGCCGGTGCCTACGGTCCTCCTCAAGCTCAGGAGCAAGCTGCTGGCGGTCGTTCGCCTGCTGCTCCTCGAAGGGAGGGTGTTATTCTGCGCCAAGAGCGCGGCGACCGTATCGGAGGCCGGTGAGTGTGAGATTTTTTTTGTTTCGTTTGATTTTCTTTTCGCGTGTGTTTCCTTTGTTTTGCCAAGCATCTCCCTCTCTTGGGTGAATGAGTACTGTAAGAATGAGTACTGTTTGAGGCGGAGATGCGTCGTCCCCCCCTCGACCGACTTTCAAGGCTTGATTGGTCCTCAACCAAGCTTGCGCCAACTCCAATAATGGTGGTTCTCGAAACATCTCGGCGAGAGCTTTCCGTAGACGTATCGCGTGCATTCCGCACCCACCTGCTTGTGGAGCAATCGAGCTTTGAAAGTTTGTCTGGGGGGTGTAACCCATCTCTCTCTCTTCACCTCTTTCGGTATTGTCGTTCCATTTGTTGTCCAATGTCATGGTAGACAATAGACGTCCGTCTTCCCAGGTGCGCGGTGCGATATTTGGACAAGCCGGCTGGGGTTGTCTTGCAATGAAATGCGATGAATTAGTTTGTTTTCTCCGCCAATATTCTAACAGTGAAATCGGAAAAAGGGGGAAGTCCTGCACCGCAGACAAAATCTTGTCCGTAGAATGTAGACTTCATCACCACGATCTCCTACAACTTTTTTTCCCTGTGGGATCTCCTCTGGCAGCTATTGGAAAAGGGAATGTAGATTCGACGACGATTTCTGGCAACTTTCACCCCCTCACGTCTGTGAATGCCAGTGATGGCTGTGGCGTCGTTGCTGCCGGGAACTCTTCCCCTCGGGCTTGGTCGGTTGGACCCTCCCGGCTTCGGGTTGAAGGCATACCGGTGGCGAAAGCACGGGTTTCCGCTGAAGCTGTTCCGAAAGGTGAGGGGCATGCGTGCTGGATGATATCGTTGTCGTTGGTCGACCACCGTTTCCCTTTCTTCGTTTCCTTTGTTTTTTTTTCTTCTTGGTTCTCAAGTTTCGGCTGCTCGTTCACTCATTGATTCCGGCCTCGTCCGTCTTTCTAGAATGTCCTCTCAGACTACCAACCCCTACACCGCGTTGGTGTTTAGTATGGTAGGGCGTATTTTGTGCGTTGCTTATACCCGACTGCGTGCCTGGCGGTATCTAGAGACGAAGATGAAGATTCTAGCAAGCGCCAGAAGGTGCTTTGAGTCGGACTGCACGCGGGTGTGTTGTCGTCCACTGTGGCTAGGATAGGAGAAGTGAGATCGTTAACGTTTGAGGAACCAGTACCTAGCCCGCTTTTGGTGTTTTCGTGGGGTGTTAGCCTTTTATCTCTCGTTTCTCGATCGAGCGTTGCGGACGGTTCCACTGTTTCCTCCCTCTACCCTACTTGCTCGATCGAGCGTTGCGGATAGTTTTGAGTATTGTCTCCCTCGAATTCTTGTTGCTCGATCCAGTAGTTCGACTGTTGTCTCCCTCGTTTATTCGTGAGCCAGCGTGCACCTGCTGCCGATTCAGCTGTGTCCTCTTCTTTCGCGGCCCCATCGCTTGCCTTTTCTTTCGACCGGAGTGGGTAGTCGAAATCCTGATATTTCTTGTTTCGCCAGAGGTGCCTGATTGTGGGGTAGACCTGTTTGGTTGCATGCTCGTGTGGTCCTTTCCTTCTTTTTCTGTTGCTGCAGGAAGCGCCGTTAGAACCGCTGGTGGTGATAGCTGGAGCGGCGGATGTCTTGGCGAAGGACGGCTTCTTTGCAGGCAAGTCGTCCCGGTGATGGATGCTGTACTACGCGCAGTGCCGTCGGCTGGTTGCTGCTGCTGTCGTCGTCGTTGTCATCTTGGTGTCAATTGTTGTTGTTGTTGTTGTTGTTGCTGCTGCTGTCGGTGTTGTAACTGCGGAGCAGAGCTACCTGTCTCGAAAGCTTGTGTTGGAAGCGCCACGGAATTTTTCTTTGTTGTGCGTGTGTGTGTGTGTTTTTTCATTATTTGCATCGACCGCGCTAACCGGCTGACCAATGAAAAGACGTCAGTCT